GAGTCCTGTCAGGCAGGAGGGAGGCAGGACAGAAGCAGCCCATCTTCCCCACAGAACATCAAGAATGTCTCCCTCCATTGCTGGCCATTCCCTACTGGCTGCCCTCCAAGGTTCCAGCCAGTGTGGTACCTCCTTCTGGTGACTTCAATGACTACAGCAACCACAGATAACACTGCATAACCATAGGAACATTCATTACCTCAACATCCTTCACACTTAATAACACTCTACTACCCCTGCTGTAGATACAAGTCTCTGGAAGGATCTACCCAGGGAAGAATCAGGCCACCTTGCTCAGGTCAGTGTCTGATGACACCGAGTGGTCCTACCCATGGAGCCCCATGCCATCTTTGGAGCCTAAGCAGCCAACTCTCAGGCCAAGGGGTGGGGTTGGCAGAGAGCCTGTTTCAAGTCCTGACCGCCAGTGACCAGCTTGAGTACAAGCCTTGGAGCCTTAGTGCCCTTCTGGAAAGCAGGGTTAAGGGAGGGGATGCCCTACTCTGTGGTGGCATGGCTATGCAGAAGTATCTGACTACTGAGTGATGACAAAGGTGGCAGGTGTGGTCCCCAGGGAGTCTCCATGTTCCCTTGGCACACTTGAACTTACACTGGACACCAGCCCCCAGCTCTTGATCTCCCTGGGGAGACATTTCCTCCACACCACCCTTTGCCCCTGATCCTGGGAGTGAGAGTGGAGAAGGCCCCAACAAAGAGCAGTCGGCACAGAGTCCCACAGAGTCAGCTGGCTACAGCAGAGGGCGCAGTGTGAGGAGGGTGGGAAGGTCCACAGAGGAGGCGAGAAGCCTCCCAGTGCTTTGCCCTGGGTGTGTTTAGTTCATTTTTACCTCCTACAGTAATAACAACTGATCTCCCCATTTTACAGAGGAGCTCATTGAGGCCAAGGCTCCAAGATGTTCACTAACTTGCCTTGAGTGACACAGAGATAGGAGTCCGACCCAGGTTGTTTACTGCATCACCCCACCCCCAACATACTACTTGCCAAGAGGAGAGACAGGGGTCTTGGGACAGGGTCACAGTGGAGGTCAGCACAGCAGCCACTCAAACTGGTTAAAGAAACAGTTTGATTGGTGGGTTATGTAGCGAGTGTCCTGAGAGCAGCACATGCCTCCCACTCCCTAAAATCACTGCCCCAGATGGAATCTGTGGCCCCTTGCTTCCGCCTAGCCGAACGCACTAGCTGAAAGTCACTCTTGCTTATATACTGTTCCCTTCGGGTACCCCCTCCTGCCAACTTGGCCTCCTTTCGCTCTGCTATGGAGGGCACAACTACTCCTGAGGAGGCTCTAAATGTGGCCTGGGCAGGCAGGAAGGCCAAAGGGAGGGGGCAGAGAGGCCCGGGCTGGTGTCCCAGCCCCCACCTGGACACTGTAGGGCCAGGACCAGTGCCACTGACCTGCTTGGCTCCCCACCACGACCGCTCCTTCCCGGCCCCTCTCCTCTAGCGTCCAGGGAGCATAGGGAAGAGCCACAGAGGTGTGGATTAGCCTCTCCAATTTTGTATATTTTGTTTAAAAAAGCAAGCAAACCTGGAAAAGCTTGGGACAAGCCCAGCTAATTTTAGTTTCTAATGAAAACAGCAGGTGGCTGAGAGGATCTGATCTCCCTGGCAGGGCCAGGGCCCTCCGGCCTCCTCGCAGGCTGCAGTCACGGAGGGGAGGGCCTCCTGGGAGGAGCCTGCAGGACCTACAGGCCCCATTCGAGAAACTGGGCACGAGCTGGCCAGCGGCTGCATGCAGCAGGGGCACCCTGGGCTGGTAGGGTAACCTGATCGATGGCACGGCCATGGCTGGAGTCCTGGGTGGCTGGGGCAGCAGGTGGCAAATTGCTAAGCCTATACTCGGCAGCAGCAGGAAGAAGCCTAAACGGTGGCAGCAGAACAGGCTGGGAGAAACAGGGGTGATCAGCCTCAGACAGCCGGTCCAGGGGCAGCCGACACCCATCAGGCCCTGGCTCTGCCTCTCCCAGAAACGGCTGTGCAGTCGATATTTGAGCCCGACCTAGCTCCCAAGTCAGTGAATGGCACACGTGTCTCTGGGGGAAAGGTTGAGCCACTGTAGGGCACTAGGAGGGACCACAAGGCCGCCCCCATTTCTCTCTCACCCGCTCTTCTTTCCCTTATGTACTCTGCCTTGGGGTGGGAGGACATCAGGACAAAGCCCCTTAGATGAGCTGCAAACATTACTAATACCTTCTGTGTGCCATGCCCTGTGAGAGGCCCAGAAAGATGCAGCCTGAGGAGTCAGCTCTCCGGCTGTGCAGCAGGGCAAATTCACAGCCAGAGATGGGGACAGTTGAGAGCCCAGAGCTGTTTGCTGCTAGACAGCTATGGGGCTTACAAGTCTCTTCAGCTCTGCGGGCCTCAGTTTGCTTGGTTCATCTGTGAAGTGAGGTCAGGTACCAGCCAGGCTCCAGGACAAGCATGTGGAGTGAGGACAGGCCAAGGCCACTGAGGACTGGGGTGCCAACCCTCTCTGGCCTATGCCAGCTCTGACACCCGCCAGATAAAGCCCTAGGGTCTCAGAAAGCAGCAGCAGAAGTGGCAAGGCCTCCCATACATGGGAGGGGCAGCTGCTGTGTCAAGTAAAGGCAGGACCAGGAGGTGGACACTGGTGCTGCTGGAAGCAGTTTCTCGTCATCTTCCTGGATGATATCCCAGTGACTCACAGCTATGGCAGCCGGGCAGTGTCCCTGCCACTGTCATTTCAGCCTGTCTCCCTATTACATTCAGAGCCCCAGGGAGGAATGTTCAGTTCCTCGAGTCCATTACTCCCATTTGGTGGCATGGGACCAGCAGGCCCTCTTCTGCCAACAGAAGGAAAACTCCAACTCTGATAGTGGGAAGGGCCTCACAGACGTACCAGCTAGCTCACTTGCCCATAGCCAGCTCCAAGTGGAAGGGGATTTGCCTTTGGTCACAATGGGCTGATGGCTCAGCCAGACCTCCCTACCTGTTCCTTCTGGCCAGAGACTTCAGCCCCTGAATTCGTCCCTTTACCAGAGACTAGGCAGTGCCCGATCCAGCCAGACCTGACCTGCTTAGCTTACAAGGAGGGGAAAAATAAGGTTAGACATGTGCCCCCCAAATCCTGGTGGGAATGGGGTCTCCTTTCTGAGAGTCCTAGCCTGGGTGGGTACAGGAAAATACCTAATGGTAGGTAATGAAAGGACACAGTGGCCACAGAACAGAGTCCTGGCCCACCGCCAGTAGCTGAGCTCTTGGCGCCCCCTGCAGGCCAAGAGTGACTCATGGGTGTGGTTCTGTAGGAGGAACCCCCCCCCCCACGTTGCAAGGGAAGCAAGGAGTACCCAAGTTCACCACTTCCAGATATCCCGTTCTCCTGACCCTTACTCCTTTCCTTTCCTTTCTCCCACCCTCCCTCCTTTCCAAGAGACTTGGGTTCCGATAAGGATTGGCCAGAGTGCCGCCTGCTAGTCTGTGTATATCCCAGGACTTAGGGAGATGACTCAGTCAGCAAAGAGCTTGCTGGGCAAGTGTGAGAACCTGAGTTCGATTCCCAGAACCCATGGAAGAAGCCAGGTCTGTTAGAGAGGCTATGAGGGCTAAGAGGGGCCCTGGAAGACCAGGAATGCATGCCAAGGGAGGTTGGTCTGTCTGGCTTTGACACTCTCCATCTCCCTTGCCCACTGGTGCTGCCAGGGACAGTTCCTAAGATGCACCCAGGTGAGCTAGGTGTGTTAGCACGCCTTGCCATGTTCAACCTCACAATTGCCCTCTGGAACAGAAGCCGTGACTCCAGTATGGATAAGGAAAGCTAGACTCAACCTTACAGCCATAGGACAGGCAGGGGGAGGGGTGGCTTCTCTGAGAGCCAAGGCCACAGTGTAGACAGGAATGCCCTAGGCTGAGCCTCTGGGACTCAGTAGAAAATGTCAGATACCTTTCCAAGACTACTCTCTAGGCTAGTGACTTCCCAGCTGCACCCCAGAATATGCCCAAAGCTGAGAGGACACTGACAATAAGCAGTTGAGGAGCTGGCCCAGGCACCTGTTCTCTCTGTAACCCCATAGGTGCTCCCAGCACAGTCAGATTCAAGAAATAACCTTAATCTGACCCAGGGGCCTGACCAGCAAAACTTGGATGCTATGTGCACATCTCTAGAGATGTGAAAATAGTAGCTGCTGACCAAGCTGTCAATCCCTAAGTCACACAAAGGCTAGCAAAGGCTATGACGTCAAACAAAAAGCAAGTTCTACCTCTCACCAGCTGTGAACCTTGGACACAAGGCAGCAACCTGTCTTTGCCTCCATCTTCTTCACTTTCAAATGGAGGAGGGAGGCTCTTGCAGGGGACGTGGCTCAGTTAATAGAGGATCTGCCTAGCACAAGGCCCCAGCACCATGGAAACCAGGTGTGATGGTGCATGCCTGTAATTGGGGAGGTGGATCAGATGTTCAAGGTTATCCTTGGCTACATAAAAAAGTAGGAAAAAATTAAAGGGTGGCTATCTCCTTAGGCACACCCAAGGTCAACCTCTAACCTTGCAGGGATATGCACACAAATATACCCCACATACACACATACACACACACACACACACACACACATACACATGCACGCACAAACTCATGTACACACCCCACACACACACACACTCAACCAACCAATATTTAAAAAAAAAAAAGGGAGACTCATTGACTAGCTGACAGGACTAAATGAAATAATGTAAAGTGCTTTGCCCTGGTCTAACTAGGTTCCATAACTTAACTCTTATTACAGTAAAACTTTTCCATATAAGACTTTCTATGTGCTTTCCAAATTGGTCATTCCTCCATTCAGTAAACATTCCCCCCTTCTGCTTCAAGCCCCATGTCAGGCTTCACATAGTACTAGTCTGAGAGCTGTGGGAGACAGGCTTGTCCCCAGACCAGGAGATGAGGCAGCCCCCCAAAACCCTGAGTACAGAAAGAGAAAATCGGGCACCAGGCCGGCTGTGCATCACATCCAACCTCTGTCCCCAGGTACCTGGCCAAGCTGTCATCAGTGGGCAGCATCTCCGAAGAGGAGACGTGCGAGAAGCTCAAAGGCCTGATTCAGAGGCAGGTGCAGATGTGCAAGCGGAACCTAGAGGTGATGGACTCAGTGCGCCGGGGCGCCCAGCTGGCCATCGAGGAGTGCCAATACCAGTTCCGGAATCGACGTTGGAACTGCTCCACATTAGACTCCCTGCCTGTCTTCGGGAAGGTGGTGACACAAGGTGAGGAGGGCATTCTGGGGGCATGAGTTGTCTGTGTGCAGCCCAGGTGCCTGGGGAATTACACTTCTAGGGCCAGGAGCATCTAAGGGGGGTTGGGGGGCCAGAAGCAGCACAGGGCCTGAGCAAGGGCATAAAGAGTGCAATTGAGGGCACTAGGGAGGGGATGACTCAGGAGGAGGCCAGACAGTGCTCTGTGATCACAACACACTCTAAAGCGCAGTTGGTCCAGTATAAGCTGGAGTGGCCCTTGTTTTCCAGAGGGAGAAACCAAGGCTCTAAGAAGAGACAGGGCTAACCTGCCCCAGGCTCTTCAAGGACTAGAGTCAGGCTTCAACCTGGGGTGTTCTGCTCACTTTTGCACCTGGCCTTGGAACCCATTTGTGAACTTATACACATGACAGGGCTGGGGAACAGCTCTAGTGTGGCCGGCTCCTGTCCCATAGGGCTCACAGTCCATTAGGGACCAGACCGTCCACAGCAGCACAACACAGGCAGCTCATATACCTGCAGCACTGACCATGGGCCGGGCACTATTGTAAGGAACACATCATCTAACTCATCCGCTTCTGAGTCTCGCCTCCATGTAGCAACAGCAGAACTGGAGGCATAGAGCAGTTAAATGATTTGCCTGGGGTCACAGAACTAGGGAATGGCAGGATCTGAACGTGTGCCCAGGCGGGGTCTGCACTGTCACGACCAATAAACCCAAGAGCGTCTCCCCTGGCCAATACTGGGTGCTTGGGAAGGCTTTCCCAAGGAGACTGGGAACCTGAGAGGGTATTAAGCTAAATGCAGGTGATCCAGGGCCCAGCAGAGGTTCTGTGGCACTGGAAGGTTCTGAGTCACCAAGATCAAACCCCTATCCTCAGTGGGAATGCTGAAAGGCAGCTGCCTTTCTGCCTCCTGAGCACGAAGCTGACATGTCTAAGCCACCCAGTCGGCAGGGCTCTATGACTCGCTCAAGCTGCAGGAAGAGGTTGCCGGGGCCAACCTTTGTCTTGGCACCTGTGGGCCTGGACAGCCCCGGCTGCTGGGCTCGTGGCAGAGCATTTGGATGCTGTTGGAAACCAACTGTGATTGAAATCTGGAAGCCATTCTCCTGGGAGCTGGCAGGGGCCGGCGGGCATGAGCGCATTTGGCATTGCTGAACTGTGCTGTTCTGAGAAAGACAGCTACCCAACGAGCAGTACAGTGGTGACGGCTCATAGCGGGCATGGCACTGCTGCCCATGGCCCAGAGATGCACTGGGGAGGCCCCAGAGCCAGCTTTCCTATGGAGGCTGCTCTCAGGAGCCCCTGTCACACAGTGGGTGTTCAAAGTATCCTCTAGAGCAATGATTCTCCTAATTCTAATTCCTAATGCCGTGACCCTTTAACACCATTCCTTGTGTTGTGGTGGCCACCCACCATAAATTTATTTCATTGCTACTTCATAACTGCAATCTTGCTAATTTATAAATCTTGATGTAAATATCTGGTATGCAGGATATCAGATAGGTGATCCCAAAGGGGCCGCGACCCACAGGTTGAGAACAGCTGCTCTAAAGAGACTGACAGATAGATCATCAAAGTTTCCTATGATGGGCTGTTACATGCTGTGTCCTCCTCCCCAAAATGCCCAACCATCTCTCCACTAGCTAAGTGGCCCCTAGCAGGCCCCTCCTTCCTTCTGCCCCAGTCATTCCCTCCAGGATCTATGCCTCTTTGGTGTTGTTTCTTTGAAGATATTGTCTTATTAGGTAACACAGGCAGGCTAGCCTTGAACTTGCTATGTAGCCCAGGCTGGTCTTGAACTTGGCAGTCCTTTTGCCTCTGCCTCCTGAGTGCTGGGATGACTTAACAGGTCTAAACCAGGCTCTATATTCTTTAAAGGGGGTATATTTTTATATGTTTTGTTGTTTTGATTGCATGTTTTTATTAAAAAAATAAGTTTCAGGGTGATTCCTACATGTTCATTATTAGAGTCACTGGACATTTTAATATAGTTGATTCGCTACTATGTATCTACATTTTTTTATGGAAACCATGTATGCTCACACTGCTTCTGTATACCTTCACACTGAAATATAACAATTCCCCACCCATGCTCCCTTTACCCATCACTGCATCCCTAAGTACCTGTCCCCTGGCACACTTCCAAACCTTGCATGGAGAAGTCAGTAGATGTCTGCTGGTGATGGGCAGCAAATCAAGACAAGGACTTGAAAGGACAAGGAAAGGGAGGCATGATCAGTGAGTGCCAGCCTGAAGCTAGGAAGGACTTGAGGACCCTGTGGAATAGTAGTCTGCCTTTCTCACTTGTGGGCAGGAACCAAGGGGGGACAACCCAAGAACCCTGCCGGGCCAAATGGAAGCTGTTCTAGAGTTCTACAGTCCAAGTGGCCTGTTCAAGCATCCTGTCCCCTTGGAGCTAAGTCAAGGCACCCTAAGACCAGGCCAGTCACAACAGGCAGACACTAGCTTTGTCTGGGGGACACATCTGAGCCCATCCCACAAACCCACCTCCCTCCATTTTATGTCTGGTTTTCTTCACTAGTAAGACTGCTCTTGGAACACTCTTACCTGGTCAGTCTCCACTGAGCCGGTGGGGCAGGGCACGACTCATTGCTGGGAGCACAGGGCTGGCTCTGGAGGCCCATGAGTTGAAGGACAGCAGAGACTGGCAAACCTAGCGCAGACGACTTCATTCCTCCGGGTCCTTTCTGGTCTCGGGCATAACTCTCAGGGCTATTGCTGACATTCAGTGGCATGTGCAGTGACTAGTTCATGTAAACCCTGACCTGAGAACACGCCAGCCTCACAGGGGCATCACAGTCACTTCAGAAGTGACTGCCAGTCTGGAAGGCCTCTTGCCCCAACTCTCAGGAGGGGGACTCAGTGGGTGTCTGCATATATGAGTTACCTGGTTGGGGCAGTGACCTCAGGGATACAAGGGGACAGAAAAGATCCCCTTTTGGGTCCAGACTGTAGCCAGTGAGGAAAGGAGGGTTGTTTGCTGGCCTATCCTGTGCTATCTAGCCCAGCTCATCCTCACGACAGCTCTGAGTTTATGTCACTCCCAAGTCACAGCTGAGAAGTTTGAAGGAGCCAAGGGTGGTGGTGACCCAGATCCTGCCCTGCCAGCTGTGAGAACTTGGGCAAGGTCTGTGCCCTCTCTATAACTTGGTGTCCTTCCTAGAAAGTGAGGACAAACCCAGGGCCCACCTGCTGAGATATCTGGAGCTGTGCCATTCCCTGGCCTCCATGGGGACACCCACCTCATGCCCAAAGGTCACCACACCCAGGGCTTCCTCGCCAACCCAGCTCAACCTCAGCCAGTTCCTTCCCCAGTTCCAGCTCCTTTCTGCTGGATTGGCTTCCCTCCCGCCATCTGGGGAGATGTCACTGTGACGTGCTCCCAGGCCTTGAGTCAGACAGGCTCCAATCCAGTTCCCATTCTGCATTTGCTGCTGAAGAACTCTGGCAAGCCTTATGTTTTCAAGGGATCAATAAGATTGCTCTGAGTCCTGGTCAGCACACAGAAAGACCATGTGGTCCTCAGAAATAACGACTAGTGGACCTATATCATCACTTTGAACCCCTAGCCCCAGGCAGCTTCCCCCCTCAGAAAAGATGGCATTGAGGCCAGACCCATGGGACCAGGATTTGGGGTACTCTGGGAAGAAAAACATCAGAAGTGAGTTGTGGGTTTGGAAAGGGTAGATGGCAGGGGAGAGAGGGGTGAAGGCAGCAGGGTGGGCACTAGAGTTATGCCTTCTCCTGGCCCAGGATAGGAGCAGGCAAAGATGCCTCCCTTCTGCAACTACAATGCGGTCATGGTGAAGTATCTACCACCTCCCCAGGACACCCCACCTCCCCAGGACACCCCACCTCCCCAGGACACCCCACCCCCCCAGAACACCCCACCTCCCCAGGACACCCCACCCCCCAGGACACCCCACCCCCCCAGGACACCCCACCCCCCAGGACACCCCACCTCCCCAGGACACCCCACCCCCCAGGACACCCCACCCCCCCACCCCCCCAGGACACCCCACCCCACCCACGATGCCCCACCCCCCAGGACACCCCCCCAGGACGCCCCACCCCCCCACCCCCCAGGACACCCCACCTCCCCAGGACACCCCACCCCCCAGGACACCCACCCCCCCCCAGGACGCCCCACCCCCCAGGACGCCCCACCCCCCAGGACGCCCCCACCCCCCAGGACGCCCCCACCCCCCCAGGACGCCCCACCCCCCAGGACGCCCCACCCCCCAGGACGCCCCCACCCCCCAGGACGCCCCACCCCCAGGACGCCCCCACCCCCCAGGACGCCCCACCCCCCAGGACGCCCCCACCCCCCAGGACGCCCCCACCCCCAGGACGCCCCACCCCCCAGGACGCCCCCACCCCCAGGACGCCCCCACCCCCCCCACCCCCCAGGACACCCCACCCCCCCAGGACGCCCCCACCCCCCAGGACGCCCCACCCCCCAGGACGCCCCCCCCCCACCACAGCACTCCCAGCCCCACTACAATGTACTTCTGAGGAAATCAGGCCCTGGCGTGTCCTCCTTCAGAGAACAAGGCTCCAGCCTGGGTACCTGGAAAGCCATAGGGGCCATACTACTGAAGCCAAATGGCTGGAACCCAGGGTCAGTAAGAAAAGAATGAGTTCAAGTTCTGGCTACTCCACATCCTAGCTGGGTAACATTGGACGAGCTGCCTCACCGCTTAGTACCACGATTCCCTTGTGTAAAATGAGGACATACATCTATTCCTATCATATTGTGGAAAGCACCTCGGCTAATGGACTGAGTGCTCGGACAATGCCCACACACAGTAGGCTCTCTGCACACAGTAGGCTGTCTGTGAGGTGGAGCTTTGGTTCAAAGGGTCTTGGAGAGCTTCTTCCTTCAGTCACACAGAAAATGAAGACATGGTGACAGATGTTTAGAGAATGAGGCAGTGGTCTCTTGAGCAACCCCATCGGGAGACTAGTATCCCCAAGACCACTGGCACTAGGGGGCGGAGGTGAATAAGAGCCAGAAGGCAAGGACTGCCCAAGCAGCTAAAGAAACAAAGGGACCTCCCAGGGCAGAGGGCTCAGGCCGCCCTCCAGGCCCATCAGCCCTACCTTCTGGGACTTCCCTTCCCCCTTGGTCTTTGGGGCAAAGATTTGTGCTGGTTCAGGCCTGGAAATACCAGAAATACCAGAAACTGAAGTTGTCTCTCTTTGGGCGGCCACAGCATAAAACCAACCAACATGAGCCTGCTATTAACCTCAATTAGCTTGGAGAAGATTCCATCCCAGACTGTTGAAGCTCCAATGCTCCAGCCAAGCCCCTCAATGAAGGCCCAAAATGGCCAAGCAGAGAGTGGGTAGTGGAAAGGAACCGTGGGTGGTACTCCCCGCTCAAGGACTGTACCGAGAACAGGGTGTCCTGAGTGTTGGGGGCTGAGCTGCCTCCTGCTCCAGAGCCCAGGCTGGGCTGCCTCTGTCCACAGTGAGCACAGTGGAGGTGACTGTTCTCATCTGACCATGGTGACTGCTCCCCAGGGCAGCTGGGAGCACAGGCCTGGGTGTCGCAGAGGTAATTGCCAACCATGGGGCCAAAGCCTGCCCCCACCACTCTTGTGGACACAGACCCTGCATCAAGAGACAGAGGGACAGTCACAGCACACAGAGGCCCTCACAGGGTCTCGGATAGGAGCAAGACCCACGGTCTGGTCACACACCCAGCCAGCATGCGCGCTAGGCTCACACACTGCCCCAGCTCACCCCGAGAAGAGTCTCCACAGCAGCTACACCCCCAGGCATAGTTCCTAGGAGGATAAAAACATCTATTCAGGCAGGGGAGGAGGGCTGTCACCAAAATAGAATTGCTGAGCAGCCATGGGCAGGAGATGTAACCACTGCACAGGCGGGCAGACCTGTGACTGCACACTCGGCTCCCACCACCTCCTGGCTGTGGGACTGGGACAAGTACTCTCCCCCCCCCCCAGGAACCTGCTGGCTAGTCTCTGGACACTGGGGACAGATCAAGCTGGCAGGGGCAGAGGGCTTATGAACAATAACCCCCACCCCCGGTCAGCAGGAGGGGCTCAGTGCTAGGAGCTGCCAATACTATAGTTTGCTCTTCAAGTCTCAAGGAAGCATATGAGAGCCCCAGGCCCGGCCTCCAAGAGAGAGCTCAGTCAGGGTCACAAGGGGGAACTTAAAGCCCACTGAATAATTCTGTGTGCCTGTGCCCCTTCACGGCACTGCAGTCATCTCGATTCCCCAGACTGTCACAATCGCACGACTATGGCTTGCCTTGTGGAGGAGACTGTGAGAACAGCTGAATGATCGGGCCGTGAAGCCAGGCTGTCTGCTGGCTCAGCCATGTGCTGTGTGACAAGCGGCCAAGCCTCTGTAAAATATGGGGATGACCATAGCTCTTCCCTCACTGGGCTGCTGGGAGGAGGCGCTGATCCTCACGTGTGAAAGAGGTTCAGCTACTGGTGTGCTGAAAACAAGGAGCCGCTGTGTCCTTGGCACACAGGCTTTCCTCCTGCCTTGTCCCTCCTTGGTGTCCAGCATTCGGCAGCCCTCATACACATCTTCCTTTACTTAAAGAAAGTAGAGATGCGGTGCCCTAGGACCTAGCCCTTCTCTCCCTCTGCCTTGCACAGGGACTCGGGAAGCGGCCTTTGTGTACGCCATCTCTTCAGCAGGTGTGGCCTTTGCGGTGACAAGGGCATGCAGCAGTGGAGAGCTGGAAAAGTGTGGCTGTGACCGGACAGTGCATGGGGTCAGCCCACAGGGTAAGCACAGATGTTCAAATGGGAGGGCGGGGGCCTAGCCCCAGGCCCAAACTCACCCCAGCCCTCCCCGTGCCCTCCATACCCCAGGGTTCCAGTGGTCAGGATGCTCGGACAACATCGCCTATGGCGTAGCCTTCTCACAGTCCTTTGTGGATGTACGGGAGAGAAGCAAGGGGGCCTCCTCCAGCAGGGCGCTCATGAACCTTCACAACAACGAGGCCGGCAGGAAGGTAGAGTGGCATCAATCCCATTGGCATTGGGATAGGACTGTATGGGCAGGGTCCCTCAAATAGCTCCATGGCTACTCTGGAAAGGCCCATGTCACCAGGCACCTCTGTAGGCCAAGGACTGGTAGTGTGGGGGCAGATGTTATACAGCAGTGTAAGTGACCTTGTCCATACATATCTGACTGGGTCCAGTCCTGTCTCAGGCTCTGTGACAAGCAGATCTGGGATTTGGACCCTCCCGTCCACCCACATACCTGTGACACTATCTGACTTCCTGATGTCTACTTCCAAGGTCCCTTCCAAGACCCTGCCAGGTCACTCGTCACTCACACAAATGCTTCCTTTACTTTGTGGCCTCCAGCAACTCCAAGTACCCCAAGTACAGGGACAGCATCTCATTGGTCTGTTCGCAACACTGCTCGCAGCTCAGCATAGTATCCAGGAGGCACAACAGTGAACCCCTTGAGTCTGCATCAGCCTTGGGGTCCATGTGTTGGCCCCCAGGGGTCCCTCCCCCACCTCCACTGTCCCTGATCACCCCTCTCGTCTCCTCCCTGGCAGGCCATCTTGACACACATGCGGGTGGAATGCAAGTGCCATGGGGTGTCAGGCTCCTGCGAGGTGAAGACATGCTGGCGAGCCGTACCGCCCTTCCGCCAGGTGGGCCACGCACTGAAGGAGAAGTTTGATGGTGCCACTGAGGTAGAGCCACGTCGCGTGGGCTCCTCCCGGGCACTGGTACCACGGAATGCACAGTTCAAGCCACACACAGATGAGGACCTGGTGTACCTGGAACCCAGTCCAGACTTCTGCGAGCAGGACATGCGCAGTGGTGTGCTGGGCACCCGGGGCCGCACATGCAACAAGACATCCAAGGCCATCGACGGCTGTGAGCTGCTGTGCTGCGGCCGTGGCTTCCACACAGCACAGGTGGAGCTGGCGGAGCGCTGCGGCTGCAGGTTTCACTGGTGCTGCTTCGTCAAGTGCCGACAGTGCCAGCGACTCGTGGAGATGCACACGTGCCGGTGACTGCGCCCACCTGTGCCCAGCATCACCTGTGTGGCCCAGGGAAGGCCAATAATTTAAACAGTCTCCCACCGCCTACCCCAAGAGATACTGGTTGTATTTTTGGTTTTGGTTTGGTTTTTGGGTCCTCAAGTTATTTATTGCCAAGAATAGGCAGGCAACCCCAAGGGCGCCAACCAGGGCCTCCCCAAGCCTGAGCCTTTGTGTGTGGCTGCCACTGACCAAAGGGACTTTTGTTTATGCCTCTGGCTGTCCACATTGACCACTGCTGACTACTCACTCAGCTGTTGTCGGTGTCTATTTTTCTACATGTAGACTAAAAAGTGGGTAACAGGGAGTGACTGTGGACCCACCTTCCAGGGAAACAGATGGCCCTATGGCAGGGACAGCAGCTTCTATCTTGGTGGAGTTTCTATCACCGGCAATAAAGGAGCTTGTGCCTCTGCATCCCCGAATACACAGGGACGGCTGCCTGATAATGAACCTGGTAGCCCTGGCTCTTAAGGTCCCTAGAAAGGGAAGGGACAGGTACAGGTCAAAGGCTAAGTGCTCCTCTCAGCCCTCACATGAACAGCGAGATTGCAGGCAGGCACACAGATGAAAGGGGGCAAGAATGGCCACCTGAGGCCAGCCTGCCTCAGTCTCCTGCTGGGAAAGGGAAACTGCCCCTACTCCTAGACCCTCCTAGACAGGGTAAGGCCATCACCCTGGATCAGGTCCTAGCTTGGGCCTAGCAAGTCACATACCCATGAGTCACCCTCACGACACACAGAGAGACAATTAGGGACTGTGCAGAGATTCCCGCCCTACGATATCTCACTCACTTAACAAAATGTATTGAGCAAACACTATGCCCCAGGCCCTGTCCTGGGCTATCTCCCTTGGTGACCACGTACGTCCTGGGAACAAACAGAGGCACATGCCCTCTTTACAGCAGGTAGTCATGCCTGTCAGCGCCCCAAGACCTTGGCAGAGGCAGGGCCAGGCTCCTCCTTAGTCCCTGTATCCAGTGGCAGAGATACATAGGCCTCTTTGGCCCTAAGCAATGGGACAGGGGCTCCGGCTAGAAATAAAGGTACAGGCAGGCAGTAGAAGCCAGAGACCACAGGTGGGGCTGGGGCCCACATGGTTGCAGCGGGATAAAGGCACCTCCATCCCCAGGACCTCGGCCCTAAGGCCTTGAGTACAGTAAGGACAAAAGATTCCCCAAGGAACATCATCGGTAGCTGGTGCCTGGCCCATTGCACCAGCCAAACTGTCAAATATCTACCAAGTGTTCTGCACACAAGACACACAGAGACCCAACTCCTTCTCAGTGGGTGACCAATCCTCAGAGGAATTTCCCAGCATGGTCTCCAAGTTGCTCCCATGTTCAGGACTCCAGGTTTGATGTCTGCAGCTCTGAGATCCCCCTTGGGACTCTGAAATCCCAAGCTCTTTGCTATTGGGTGGTGTGAACACGAAACCCAGGATTCCGAATATGGGCTCAGGCCTGCACAAACTCTCCTCTGGGTCTGTGGTTTGTGTCTCCTAGCGTTGGCTCCCTCACAAAGAGGGTCAACACCCTTGGCCCCCATCCAAAGCTCTATGCTCACTATCCATCTGAAGAGGCAGCCAAAACCAAGTGAGATACTGGATAACCTTGGGCAGGCTGCCTCTGATGCGGATGAAAGCTGAGCTGACCAAGGGTCCCCACAGCTGCCCAGCTCCTCTGGCAGACGTAGTTCAGCACCAGGGAAGATAGGACCCTCTCGACAGAACCAGGCCCCCAGACAAAGGAAGCAGGGGAGCTGTCCCTCAGACAATGCTGAGCCAGGAACTCCATCCAGCGGTAGTGGGGTCCAGACTGCTTACTCATTTGATGGACACTGCCCCAAGAAGGGAGGTACCTAGTTCCCCTAAGATGATCCTCCCGGTGTTCTGCAGGCTGTGACCAGGTGAATCAGACCACAGGCTCGAACCACTGCCAACACCAAAGGAATCCACAGCCACAGAAAAAGAGCGTCGTTGGACCTGTCCAGCTCCAATCTGTCTCAAATGCAGAGCTGGCAGAGGGCTGATATAGCTTGCCACACTTGGATCACAAAGGACCCAGGAAATTGGCCAGGTCCGCATCCTACCTGAACCACTCTCCACTGTTCTTGTCACAAGGCAAAAGTGGTATTCCTCCAAGGCCAGGGCTGGATAAACCCCAGCTCTGGATGCTGCTACCCTACTCTGCTGCCCCACCCCATCCTCCAGTTTTTATATGAGGCTCCTTGGCATTGTGACATCCCCATGGCATAGTCTGAGATGCACGATAAAATGGTTATTTCTTTATCTGGCAATTGTAGCTGTGACTTTTTTTTTTTTTTAAATAGAATAGGGAGAAGACTTCAAGAAGGATGTGGATAAAACAGGTACTACTTGCTAAGTAGTTATTAAGTGAATTCTAAGTATAAGAATACCCCACCCTTGTCTTTTTATTTCTGAACTAGTCAAGGCCCACCAGACCCATCTATATGTATCTGAAATCAGGCATCAATGGCACTACACTTCACTAAGTCATGACCAGTTATGTAAACTTTGCCCTGACTGAATTGATCATCCCTTTCAAGTGTTTGTGTGGGTTTAGGGACTGGACAAAGAAGGTATTGATGCAGGACACAGGGAACAATGGAACAGACCACATTCCCATCTGAGACAAAGGAACACAAGACCTGTGACTAGAAGAATTCAAGAAATAGAAACAGTCATAATGGGGGGGGGTCACAAGACAATGACATGACACAAACCTCTAATAACACACACACACACACACACACACACACACATACACACACACACACACACACACACACACACACACACACGAGGATCCTTGCAATGTGGAGACCCAGGGACCCTCATTCTAGCTGGTGAATCCCTCATCTTTCACCAACCTGTCCCCACTCACATTGATGAGTCAAATGCACAGCAGCCTGGGAACACGTGTCTGGCTTTCTAAATACCCGCTGACAGTAGAGGCTGGAGGAGTGTGTTCTCTGGGTGGCAGAGCAATGTGCATTTGTGACCAACAGGCAGGATGAGGACAGGGGCAGGGACAGACAGAAAAGGGCGAATCAGAGTCGAAGGCAGGAAGTAGGACTGGAGATGTGAAGAGCCAGGATGTGGAACAAGGATACCCACCATGATGCCAGTCTTTCACTGTGGGGGCCCTTAGCTGATCCATTGTCTTCTTTGGAGTTCATCCCCTCACCTGTAATATGGAGCATCCCAGCATACACACTTTATATAGGGCTATGTAACAGAACTTATTGCTTGGAGATAGTGAGTAAGATAGCAGAATATAAAGGGGGACTCCTAAGGAGTATGCCCATTTTCTATTTCTCAGGAACATAGGCAGTGAAGGTAGACAGAGATGAAGGAGGCTCGAAAGGGAAAAGGCAGAGCGGGGAGGGCTAGGCAAGTGCCCTATTCCTCACTCCAGAGGTCAGAAGCATGCCAACCTCCCAGAGCTGAGACAGTCGGGGAGCAGCTCAGGGACTGCATCACAGTGGTCAAAAAGCAGGGCAAGTGTATGGTGAGAAGGTGGAGTGGGCACACCGTGGGCCCTGAAGGGTGGACAGCTCTCAGCCCTGGGCTAGGTAGCATCCTGGATAGATGTCCTGGGAACTCAAGTTCAATGGTCTCTGGGGAGAGTATGAAAACACCTTGAGAACAAGCCCTCCCCAGGAAGTATGGAGCCACCAGAGGCCAGGCTGGTCAACTCTGCCACACATGGCTGAGGACACGGGACTCATGAGGGCAGAAGCAAAGACAGGGAAATGAATGGCTGAGGGTGCTAAACTGGGCTGGAAACTGAGTGAGGACATGGCAGGGGATGGGAGGGCATGGGGGGGGGGGGGAGAAGGTACTGAGCTGCTATGGGTGATGTCTGAGCTAAAGAGCCCAGCAGTTTCTTAGTTTGGAGCAGAAAGCACTGGGCTTCGGCATTTGATTCAGGGTGGAGTGGAGGTGTCTAAGAATGCAGGAGAGAAGGGTGAGGAGTGTGGCCTGGCCTTGTCCAGGCGATGATTTCATAGGCTTCCCCCATTTCTTCTTGAGTCCATACTGATGACCCCCTGCCCATATCTCAAGGGTCTAGGCCAAGCAGGCGTTGACAGGGGAGGAGAAAAGGGGCCCTTCTGGGCCAGGCCCCCAAGGTTGGCATGGTGCCTGCTTAGGGAGGAGGGGACTAAAGGCCCAACCCTTGTCAGCATCCCAGCCGGCCGGCACTTTGGAGGCAATTAGCAGCCCAGCTGAGCTAATCCCCCGCCTGGCAGGGCCAACACAAACAGGTCCAGGCGGGGTGCACACTCGCCTCCCTGTTTGCCGAGGGGCCCGGTGGTCCGCCAAGAACAACATCAGTAACCCGGGGCCTTCTCTAGGTTAAAAGCAGGACTCAGTCTTGCTGAAGGGTTGACAGTGCCCGACAGAGCATGCTCTGGCCAGATGCCCTGGCTGCCCCAGAAAGACAGCCACTGTTCCCAAGCTTTGGGCTAGCAAGGAAGAGGAAGCTAGACCCTAGGAGCCATGCATTCTGATCCAGCATACTCCACCACCCATGCCACCTGTGAGGGAGAAGGCCTGTGTCACCTTGGCCAACCCAACAACTGAGGCCAACAGGAGCTGGACACTCTGGTCTGGCCCAAGGATACAGGCTCCATGAAGGACCTGGGAGCCAAGAGGCAGGTCAGACCAGGCCCTTGCCTTCAAACAGTTGTCACCAGTCTAGTAAAGAACAGACTGGATCCTGAAGCACAGCCAAAATCTAGCCCCATCCACATCCTCATGACCTGGTGAGGTTAAAGGTGAACCCTCAAGACAAAGGGGGAGGCAGAGCTGGTACAGGAGAAGATACAAGCAGAGACCCAAACATGGGCAAATGGAGATGCTGCCAAGGAGACAGCCACAAACTGGCCCAGACCGAGGGGTGGGAGTGGGGTGGGAGAGGTACTCAGTCAGCTTAGACAGCTCAGCACTCACTGGGATGGACAAGCCCCTCTCAGACCTCACTTGCTGATTCCACACAAGTTTCATCTCCATCAGTCCTACTAAGTCTGGAGTGTCTTTTTGGAGCCAAGCCCTCCATTCTCAGTTTGGTTCCTTATCTACCCAAAGAGCCCCTCTCCTCACCCACTGAGTCCTCACAGGGCTCCTGTGAGAGACAGGCTACAGATGAACTTTGGAGGACAAGAGCAGCCACCTGGGAAAGTTGCAGCTGTGCCTCCGAGTGGGCAGGTCCCCTTGGGGCACTGAGCGCTCAACACCGCCATCTTCAGAGCAGCGCATCCACTGTGGATCAGGCCCACACGAAAACTACCTACCAGCATCTGTCACAGACACAAGCGACAGCTGAACATAAGGATTTCCTGTCAGACAGGCCGGCTCAGAGGCATGTATGATTTGTGTGCATGTGAAAGCCTAGGATTGAGGCCCGCAGAAGGGGAAGACACCGCTTGCTTAAGCACAGAGCTTTGGCTTTCTGGTCAGGTGCCAGTGTGTCAGCAGTAGCCCTGCCCAGTCCCACCAGCCTCTCCAGTAACTGCCAATTGCTCTACACTTAACTGTCTCCACACGGGAACCTGCAAACAGCTTTCTCTTCAAGGCAGAGTGTGAGGAAGCTGGAGCAGGAAACAGCAGCCCTCCTCAGTCCCTGCCCAGATGGTGTGGCAGACTCTGGGCCCTGCTCCAAGGCTGCCAGATGAACTCCCAGCTTCTTGCTGGTAGGACACTGACAAGCCACCAACCAAACCTTTTGGGGTTATGTGACACCTGGATCCAGAACAGTGGTTCTCAACCTGTGGGTCACAACCCTTCTCACAGGGGTCACCTATGGAAAACACAGATATTTATTACATTACGATTCATAACAGTAGCAGTGTTACAGTAATGAAGTAGCAATGGAAATGATTTTGTGGTGGGGGGGGGGGTCACCACAACATGAGGAACTGTATTAAAGGGTGATGGCAATAGGAAAGTTGAGAACCACTGCTCTAGAACATTCAGCATACAGCCAAGGTGTAAGAGATGAGAGTCCCTTCTCCTATAGTTCAGGCAAAAAAAGAGATCACTTGCAAAACAGATCTTTCACTGGGAAACTCACAAACCAACCATATAAGGACACATAAACAAACAGACCCCTAAGAGGGCTGGCTTCAGCTAGCACCTAAGCAGAGTCGTAGAGACAAGCTGTTTGTCTCCTGACAGCTCCTCAGCCAGCAGTGTGCAGAACCCAAAGCAATTCAGTAAATTCTGGTCCCTCCTAAAAATGACGGGACCAGACTGGGTCTCCTACAGTTTGTGTCCACACACCCTCTCTCCATTTTTCTATTATGAGAAGACCAAGTCAGACTACAATGGAGTCTGCAATGAAGACTGGGAAGGGCCCTAAAGGGTCCAGACGACAGTCATCAGCCAGTTAAGTATCCTGACCGGCTCCTTAGGACAGGAGGGGCTGCACTGAAGGCCCTGTTCCCACAGGCTCACAGGCACCAGGCCCTGCAGGGTCTTCCTTCTCCCTGAATCCCCTTCATTCCTCCTCCTCCTGGCTTCTAGCACCTCTCACAGCATGCACTCCTCCTTGCATCCCTTTCTAGGACAGAGGTAAGCTGCCTGGGATGCTTCAGGTATGGTTGGTGGTTATCACAGGTAGAACAGGGTGGGTAGCTACCCTGATCATTGTGGAGATGCAGATTTAGAGAAGTAACTGCAATGATGTGGGGCTGCCGTGAAGTCAGACTGATGGAGAAAGAGGCTGGGAGTAGAGGCAGTTACGTCATTCAAATCAGAAGGGGGAAATAAGAGGGAACCTGACTCACCCTTCACAAATACAGGCTCAGAGTGGTACTAGAAGCCTGGGAGTCTCAGCTGCAGAGATCTGGGTGTGCACCCATTCTAGCCACACCTGGCCAGGTGACCTCAGATAGGTTAGCTCTGTGAGTCTCCGTCTTCCCATCTGGAGCAGCTGAGGGCTGCTATGGGAACTGAAAAGTAGTTTTCTTTTTCCCTGAGCCATGCACTCTCTCCTCCACCTCAGGCCAGTGGGCGTAGCAAGACATTGATGGTGTCACTCCACACACAGACCCTAACAGTCTCTAAGAATCTGGGATATACTCAACAGAACATGTGGCTGCTGGTCCCAAATTGCTCATGTGCCCATTTTGAACCACAGCAGGCCCCAGTTTAAGAAGAGTTCAAGCATAAAGAGGGGAATGAGGAGAGACTGTCATTTAATTCCCTCTCAAAAGCCAGAGTCCCACAGCTTCCCTGGTGGAGAAAGAGGATCTGCACCTAGA